ATCGATCAGCTGCCTCCTGCACACTCCCCACTGGGGATGTGCCCGCAACCCATGTACATGCCCTTGACCGGAATCGAACCTGGGACCCTTCAGTCCTCAAGCCGACGCTCTATCCACTGAGCCAAACCGGTTTCGGCATAGTCGGCTGCTTTTCCTTCAGTGAAAGGTGGGGGATAGTGTACCCTCAGAACTGGTCAGGACACATGAGGTCCCAGCCCCTGGGCTGTTCCCTGGTGGCAGGGATGACAGAGAGGCTCAGACTAGGGGTGTGCTCTGGGCTGCTCCTGGGATCACGCTGGTCATCAGCCACAGCTGTGGACAGCCACCTCCTAGAGTCCCCCAAAGTGTCCCTCAGCTGGAGTCCAGGCTACAGGAGTGGGGCCGCCTGCCACCCACCTCAGGGCCAGGTGAGGACCGAGCACGGGCAGCCTGGCGGGCAGTTCTACAGAGCAAGGCCATCTGTGTCCCCCACGAGAGGAGCCTCCTAGAGCCAATGTCACAGGCTGCTCCTGACCACCGAGGGCTCCTGCCCCCACACACTGTGCTGGCCCCCGGCACCTCCCTGCTCTGCACCTAGGCAGGTCCCACCCCTCCTGCCTGGCTTTGCCTGTTCCCTGATTCTAGTTCCTAAAACTCCAGTTCCAGCCTCGGGCACCTGCCCTTAGACTCCTCCAGGAAGCTCTTCTGCCCCTTGTTTTCATGTGAGTCCCTCCCCTCCCCCAGCCACCGTCCCCCTCTTGTTCTGCCCATGATGGCGGTGCTCAGGGCAGGGAAGTGGCAAGGCGGCACCAGCACTCGGGGTGCCCGGGACCCTGCACGCTCTGTGAAAGGAAGGTCTCAAGCACCAAGGGCAGGTGCCAGCTCTCTCCTTGGTTTCTCTGCCTGGGACCCCAAGGCTGCGTTCTGTGGCCTCCATGGGGACAGTGCAGGAGGCCTGTCCTGCGGCTTAGACTCCTGGTGGACCTGGTTGTCTTAGGACGTGAGGCTCCTAAGGATGATGGATCCCGTCTTGTGGGAGGGTAGCCCCTGAGGTCACAAAGTCACAGCTCCACACAGGACTGCTAAGTGGAGGACCAGGGAGTGTGGCTCAGCTGGGGGCAGGGGAACCACCCAGGCAGGGGCGGGAGGCGGTCTTGTGGGGAGGCCTCTGCAGGGGTGCAGAGGGAGGCACCTGGCCCTTCCCAGGCTCTGACAGCAGAGCACGGCTGCCAGGAGGACCAGCACCGCGCCCCAGGGGAGCCTGGAAAGGAGGTACCTGGTCCCACCGCCACCTAAATCCCGAGGCAGCACCAAGCACCGTGCGGGACCTCACAGGGGGCAGTGGGCGGAGCCCGGGGGCCATGAGGACGGAAGAGCCCATGACACAGGCAGGGCAAGAGGCCAGGGGCCATCTGCTGAGAGGGGAGAGCAGAGGCCAGATTTGCTGGGGGGAGGGGGGGTGAACTGGGGAGGTGTGCTGACCACCAGAAGCTACGGGAGACCCAGGAAGTAGTTCACGCGGGCAGATGGAGACCTGGCCCCGGCAACCCATCTCCAAAGCCAGAAGCACAGCCAGCGGTCTCTGAGCTGTGGGCAGTGACTCCCCTCGGGTGTGACCGCAGGGAGGTCAGGGTCAGTGGCACATGGAGCCTGTCCTGCCAAAGCCCGGCAAGAGCATGGCCGTCACAGGGAGGGGCCTGGGAGAAACGCGTGCTCACTCTCTAACGTGGAACTCACGTGTCTCAGAGGAAGCTGACTCATCGGCGGCCACTGCGAGTGCCTGAGGCCTCGGTGCCAGGGCTGGCGGCCACAGCCTGGCCTGGCCTTCTGATGCCTCGCCTGGCAGGGGCTTGAGGGGGGCCGGGGTCGCCCTTGGGACAGTTCAATGTGCCCAGCTCAGCCCGGGGTGCATTTCAGAAGCCGCCCCCAAATCTGTGCCGCTCAGGCCAGTGTCCGCCCTCTGGACGGAGGGACCGGAAGTGGAGGCCTGTGTGTGGAGCTTTAACAATGACAGGAGGGTCCTGGTAAGTTGTGCGGCTGCCCCCCACCAGGACCGACTGATAGGATGGTGCCTTTCCTCCAGAGACAGAAGGGCCTTGCTGGAGTGGCGGGAGCAAGCCCAGACGCTGAGGAAGAGGAAGAGGGAACTCGGCAAACTCCGGCCTCCACGACGGACACTGGTAGGCGGTGCTGGTGGGAGGTGGGGCTGCGCTGAGACCTGAGAGTGGCCGTCGGGCACTGCCGGCCGCTCACATGGTCAAGTGCCCTGGGCTCCCGCTCCTCCTGTTCAGGCCTGGGATGTGGTGGGTGCTGCCAACGTCCCCCTTTCCCAAGTGAAGACTGAGGCCCGCAGGCCCAGCGCAGGGGGTGGGGCTGGGCTGGCGCCCAGTGAACCTGTGGTCTGCGCTCTGCACCATCAGAGTCGAACATGCCCACAGGTGTGCTTGTCTGGGGTCCTCTCAGCTTCAGGGAGGTCGGCACCTTGGCAGCCAAGCAGCGGTGGTTGAGCGGGCTCAGGCCCTCCGTTTTCAAGGCTGGGGCCACCGGCCCCCATGGGCTTATTTGGGGCCTGAGCCCAGATGGACAGGGCAGCCGCGGGCCTGGACGTGCCGGCTTGCTTCTCTCCCGCGAGCAGTCAGGCACGTGTGCATTTGAACTTGGCACGATGTTCCTTCAGTTCTTTTGTTTAAGGCATGTCCCCTGTTGGCACCCCACTGGGCAGGGTGGCCTCTGCGCCCCTAGTCTGGGGGGAGGCGCCCTGTCCGCTGTCTACCTCACAGTGGGGTGGCCACTCTGACAGGCAAACTTTGAGGGACAGGAAAGCTGTAGAGACAGTGGGACTCCTCATGGTCCCTCCCGCTCCAAGTACTCACACCCACACCACAGACCGGCTCAGTGGGGAGTGGACGACGGGACAGCGCTATTAGCAGAAAACACACACCGAATGCAGCATGTTGTCCACTGAAGCCAGCGATGGCCCGGGGCCACATCCCAGGGGCGTTTGGGGACGCCCGCCTGCCTGGGGCATAGCACAGGCAGGGGTGCAGCAGGGCGAGGGCAGGAGAGCTCCAACCAGTCACCGGTAGCACAGGCTTTCTGACTCTCTGTCAGTTATGTTTCAGTTCGAAACCTAGTGATTTAAAGACAGGGTCACGTCTGCATGGTCACGTCCATTTCTGGTGGGTGTCACCCTGCTCTGTGCCTGGCCCTTCACCCCGCCCGGCCAGCAGCACGGCCAGCTGGCAGCCGAGGCCGGGTGGTGACCACAGTGCAGGGACCGCTGTTCTCTGACGGCCGCTGATCGGCCTCCGTGGATGATCGTCTGTGCCCACAGCAGTGTCTCCGTGGGCTCCTGAACACCTTGTTATGTTTTCCTAGGAGGCCCCCAAGCTCCCCTTTGCCACAGATCTGATCGACGATGAGAAAATGGCTCCACCGGGGAAAGGCGCACAGCTCAAAGAGAAGTCCCCACACGCCAGTAACGAGCCCAGGTTGGTTCTGGGGGGTCATGCTCCCTCCCACCCCGGGTCAGAGGTCTTGGTTCCACCAGCATCTCATGGGCAGAGGTCCAGGCCTCTGGGGGCTCAGGTAACACAGCGGGAAGGATGGGTCCCTCCCTCAGGAGCTGCTATAGCCGCTGGGCTTGTCCCCTCCCCACCAGTGTCCCTGAGGGACCCCTCCACACTTGGAGCAGCAGCTCCGCGGCCCCAGCCTTGCTTTAGGTGCCCGGGTTCTCCCTTCGCTGGCGTGCCCTCTCGGCCCCCACTGCGCCCTCCAGCGGCGGTCCGTGCCTCCCGCTAGAGCAGCGGTTCTCAACTTTCTGGCCCTTTAAATACAGTTCCTCATGTTGTGAGACAACCATAAAATTATTTTCGTTGCTACTTCATAACTGTCATGTTGCTACTGTTATGAATCGTAATGTAAATATCTGATATGTAGGATGGTCCTAGGCGACCCCTGGGAAAGGGTCGTTCCACCGCCAAAGGGGTCGCGACCCACAGGTTGAGAACCGCTGCACTAGAGTCTCAGGCCTCTTTCTGCCACTCTGCACCTCTTTGTTATAAATCAAAGGGTGTGAACCCAAAGCCCCGATGCTAACAAAGCAAATATGTTTAAAATCCTCATTTAATCCAATGTCCCTCTGACTGAGGATTTATGACAACTATGTATCTGATGTGAAAACAGACACGCTCTTTGTCACATGGCACGATGTGCGGGGCCCTAAATGTACAGCATCTTAACCTGAAGTTTTTAAAATACAGTGTGTGTCCCAGCAGCTTGGAGCCCAGGGGAAGGGTTGGGAGAGTCGCCCAGGCCTGGCTGTGAGCTGGCACCGGGAGGAAGGGGCGGGCGGGTGGCCTCTGGTGGCCTCAGCGTCCCCTTCAGCGCCTCAGCCTCACGGTGGGGTGCAAGCCACAGGCTCTGCTTCGGTCTGGAGGGGAAGGAAGCCTCCTTCTCCCAGGTTAAGGCCGGCCCGCGTCTCCGTCTCCGCAGGCCCTTCCAGGAGCGGGACCTGGAGGGGAGGCTGCAGCAGCACGTCCGGCAGATGCAGGAGCGGAGGAAAGCGTTTCAGGGGTTGGCACCGTTCAAGGAGATGAGGAGGGCCACCGAGGACCTGGAGGTGGTACGTATGTGTCGGCTTTATTTAAAAACAAGTGGCTTTATTAAAAACGGGAGGGAGCTTGCTGTGCCTTCTCAGAGCACGTGTTCGCTGAAATGTGTGTGTGGGGGGGGGGCATTTCACGGGCCTTACAGTGGGCGAGGGTCCCAGGATGACTCGGTTGAAGGATGAGAAAACATTGTGGCCACGTGTGAGCCCTCGGGTGTGAAGTGCCGCCTGATGGGCCCTGGCTGCAGCTTCTCCTCGACCGCGGACACGGGGCAGGGACCTGTCTGTGGGGCCTTCACCTGAGGGTGTGTGCCAGCAGAGCTGGGTGGGGCCGTGAGGGCTTCCGCTAAGGAGGGACCCGGGCCGCAGCCAGGCCACAGGTCTGGCGCCCAGTGAACTGTGTAGGGTCGCAGTGGCAGGCATGCAGGAAGCAAAACAAATGTTTTTAATTCCACAAAGAACACAATCGTTTTAGGAAAGAAAATGTTAACCAGGGGATAAGCAGCGAATAACGTCTGCTGGTCATGAGGCTGTAAACCCCGAGTTGATGGGTCTGCAGATGGAGGTCCAGGCTATGCCCAGGGAGATGGAACTGAGGCGGGGGGAGGGCAAGGGGGACGAGGACATGGCCTCCTTGGGGACTGGGAGGTCCTGGCACTGCAGACATAGCGGCCAGCTTTTCTGGGCAGAGGTACCCAAGGGCCCCCTGCCTCATCCATGTCACCTCCTTCTGGCCCCACAGATGGGCTGGGGACAGGGCATTTGGAGCAGAGCCCACACCTCGTTCCAGGCTCAGGGATTCCCTCCACCTCAGCACGCTGGGTCCTGTTCCTGTGTCCGAGTCTCGGCCCCCCCTCCCGGGGCGGGTGTGAGTCTCGGGTGGGATCACAGTCGGGACGGTGCCCGCTGTGGTGACGTGAGCAGGAGAGCGGATCCCCCCTTGGCCCTTCCTTGACTGGCAGTTATGCAGACCGCTGCGTGTGGACACCGGGGCCTCTGGGGACCTGGCTCTGGGGCCCAAGGGACAGCACCTGCCCCCTGCATGGGGCAGTGTGTCTGAACAGAGACAGGCTGACCCCGTCCTGTCCACCTGGCTAACTTTGTCCCCCTGCCCTCCCCTAAAGGCCAGAAAGCTGCTGGACGGAGTCATGAAACTGAGCCACGGGGGCCCGGCGCTCCCTGGGAGCCATCCGCTGTGCCTGCCGGCATTACAGCCTCAGAATACGTTTTCCAACACGAAATACTAAGCATCTGAAAATGACTACAAATACTAATGACAGCGTCTTATGTGCGATGACGGGAACGCCTCCAGCCGGGAGTGGGCTCGGCGGGGCTGCCTTCCTCCGTGCCCCCGCACGCTGGGACCTCAGGTTCACATCTCCCTCGGCTCGCGGTGCAGGCAGCCTATTGTTTTTGATCTGCGTTGCTTTTTCTGAGGCCGTGAAAGGTTTCAGCTGCATTAAAAGGAAGAGAATACTGTAAACCAGCCGCACCACGTTCATTTCTAGCAACAAAGGTAGTGGGGGGGGGGGGGGGGGGGGGGGGCGCTGGCTCACCCCATCCTGCCAGGTAGAAGCCACTGCCATGAGGCCCTCCTCCCACCAGCAGGGGTCTCCTTTGACCTTCAACCTTCCCGGTGGCGGACCCCTCACCCTGCAGGAGATTGAAATCCAGCAGGGCACATCCCTGCCCCTGAAGGCTGCCCAGGCCTCCCCTCCGATCAGCCACTAACAGCGTTCTCTCCCGCAGGCTAATCGATTCTGTCTGCCCCAGGGTTTTGTTCTGAGCTCACTGCATTCGGGAAGGCGGCCTGGGCCCCAGCTCAGCGGGAGGCCTTCATCAGCCTCGTGCCCTCTGGGGCTCCCCACCTGTCCCGCCCAGGAGCCCAACTCCAGTCATGTTACCTTTTAAAAAAATCACTTTGCTCCAAGAATCCTAGAAACAGGGTACAGATAAAACTCAAACACTGTTAGATGATTAAAAAGGAAAAGCAGGAGAAAAATTCAGTGGTGGCATTCCGTGGTGGCAAACATGCTTGATTTTGTTTAATCAGCTTCAAATTTGTTTAATTTTGCTGGTTGGTTCAAGTTGCAGTGATTCCATTTTTGTCCGTGTTGGCCTCAAGTTTTGCGTATTTTTCATTCTGTTAGCAGGGACAGTCCCTTTACCTTCTCTCCCCACACACACACATGCCCCTCCAGGTGGTCCCTCTGCAGGGAGCTCCGGGCTCTGACAGTGCAGAACGGAAGCTTCCAGGCCTTCCTCAGGCTTAGGCCATAGAGTGCAGCACCATTGCCTCAGCCTCAGCGCTGTGACCCACGTTCCCCTGCAGGTGGCGCCTGGGGCACACCGCTGCTGCCAAGGCCATGCAGGGCAGGGGCGGGCGTCCTGGCCCACATGCCCAGACTCTGCGGGTTCTCTGTCTTTGACTCTGAGAGAGAGCTCGGTTTCTGGCCAAGCAGTTTCAATCGACGTGGGAAGATTTCTCCTCTCGTCCACACTAGGACATCAAAGCTGACTGCAAACCAGGTCAGATGAGGACCTGGACAGGGGCCTGGGAGCCTTGGGAGGGGAGCGTCCCAAATATACTCTGCCCCCAGGATTTCTCAATGGCCCCCCACAGCTTGGGGTGCTCTGCACTTGGGTTCCTCGTCACGGAGAACAGACTTAGGGAGAAGCAGCCAGCTGGCTCAGGATAAGGACCACAGATCAACTGTTTTGAAACTAAAGCAATTATTTGAGAAAGAGATGCCCCACCCTGAAACGTTCTTGCTCAGATGCCTGCAAACACAGGACCTGGACCTGGGCCTGAGGGGGACTCGGGGCGACTGCAGAGCACCGCCCCACTCATGGGACTCAGAAAGGCACCGGTTAGGGGGTGGGTGGGGAAGCTTTCCAGGAGGCACCAGTCACCTCCCAGGCCCTTTGAGCAATTCCACGGGCCCAGGGGAAATACCAGTGGGGCGGGTGCTGCACAGGAATGTGGCACGTGTTTGCTGCTGCAGCCCAGCCCTGACCATGGCCCAAAGTCTGAGGATCTCATTGCTGGACCAGCTACAGGGGAGAACTGTGATGGTGGTGGTGATGGTGATGTGATGATAGTAATGTTGATGATAATGGTGGTGATGGTGATGGTGGTGATAATGATGGTGATGGTGATGGTGATGGTGATGGTGATGGTGGTGGTGGTGGTGGTGGTGGTGAGGGTGAGGGTGGGTGGTGGTGTAATGATGGTGGTGATGATAATAATGATGGTGAATTATGATTGGTGGTGATAGTGATCATGATGATGATGGTTAATTAGAATGATGGTGGTGATGGTGATAATGATGGTGGTGGTGGTGATGGTGATGGTGATGTCTGGGAGAGAAGCCTGGTTGGCTCATGCACCCCACTCCGCCCTGGGCCTAGGATGGGTGCTAACACATGGTAATGGGTGCTGATCAAGCCCTAGTTCTCAAGGGCCTCATCTTGTCCTCTCCCTCCCAGATGAGACCTGCTGTGAGGTGGTGTAGGTCCAAGCAAGAGGGCCCATCTTGGCCTTCACACCTGTGGCCTCTGGGTACTGGCTCTGGGTAGATCCATGGTCTCTGACCCATGGCTCTGGCCCTTGGACCAGGCAGCTTTGGTTCCATCTCAGAAACACCTGGTTGGGCTGCAAATGACCTGCCCACTGGGCCAGCCCAGGCGAGCTCCAGTAAGAGGAAGTGGGAACAGGCCCAGGTATGTGAGGAAGGGGGCTACCGGGGTGGGAGACACCAGCCACCTAGCCAGGTGACTGTGGCAGCTTTCGTTCTAGCCATGGGGAGTTCCCATGAGTCTCATCTTGTAGGTGAGACAGAATGAGAGATGACAAAGGCATAATTATGTACCAGTTGAAAGAACAGTGCTGGACAGGGCTCAGCAGGCTCTCCTGTGGCTTCAGGGGTGAGGAGGTGGGCCATGAGAGCTGGGACTTGGAGAAGGTTTCCTGAAATACTAGAGGGGTCAGGCTAGTGAGGCACCTCCAAGGACCAGCACAGAGACCAGTACCCTGAAGGGAGGTGGACACATAGGTCACCCCCTGCTTAAAGCATTCCCGCTGCCCCTCCTGCTGGCTCATGGTAACGCAACTCAGCTCCAGAGGTGGTTCTGGGTGGTTTCCTGTCTCCCTCCATGCCACCACCCTGCCTATCTAACCAGTGCTTGGGGCTGGCTAGGCCAAGGGCCAGGTGCTAGGTAGGCCTGGCTGTGGCTATGGTGCCCACAGCAGGGTGTGAAGGCGTTAGGAGCGAAGTCCAAAGGCCTGGGGAGAGGCTCCTGGCCCTGTTTCCCCTCAGCCTGGGGTCACTCTGCAGCCCCTCCCTAGTCCCATTGGGCAGCCAGCACGGCTCTAGGTTCTGGGAATGTTCTTTCCAGGGACCAGCACACAGTCACTTACCACCATGCACAGGGCTGGCCCTTGAGGGGGACACTAGAGGAGGGAGCACTGGGTCAGAAAGGAAGGGACATGGGGGTCAGGACCCCTGGGCTGACCAGGTTCCTGCAAAGAACACCGGCACTTTCATCAGGGGCTCTGGAAGCTCCTAGCGCCTTCTTGAAACAAGAGTGGGGTAGGGGAGCCAGTAGGGAGCAGATGGGTGGGCAGGTCTGCCAGGCGGGGCCCCAAACAACCACCTTTAAACTTCAAATCCACCTGTTGTCTCTTTTAAAGTTTCTACCTTGTAGAGACAGATTTGGAAAATGGCTTCCAAGTTCACTTAAAAAGTACACAACACAGATGGGGCTGAGGCGGGACACACTTCTCACTTGCCCTCCCCCCTCTCAGCTCTGTGTCCCCCAACACCCACTGTCCCATCAGGCTCCCCTCCAGGCTGTCGTCAAATGTAACTGCCCCACCTACCCCCTCCATGAACACCTGGGAGTTACCCAGGAAGCCCCCTTCCTACAACACTGGGTACCTTTCAGAGGGTCCCCTTCTGTGCACCCCCACTTTAGCCCCGTGTTCAGCTGTCCACACTGTCATGTGGGGCCCTTTCCCTCTGGGTGGACGTCTGCTCAAGCACCACCCCTCCCGGGAACGCTTTCCTAACTCCCCCATCCACACACAGCTCCCCTGGGCACACACTGACACACCCCTACCCATGATCACACCCCTACCCGTGATGTCCCCACCAGCCCGGGGCTGACTCAAACCCTGGCTCCCTAGTCCACGGTGTCCAGGAAAAGCAGTGCGCAGCAGGCAGTGGACAGCCTCTGGCCAGTCTCCCCAGTGCCAGCAGGGGTCCCTGTTGCCTGGCCTTTTTGCTCCAATGTCAGCCCCACCCAGGTGGGAGTGGGGACTGCAAAGGCCTGTGGGTGCAGACAGTAGGCAGGCACCTCTGGGGGCTGAGCTGTCACAGGGAGGGGTCGGCTGACCATGGAGAGGTGGCGGACTCAGATACCTGAGCCCCTCTGCTCTCCTCCTACACCAGCGCTAGGACCTCTCCTAGGGCTGACTGATGCTCCTTGGGCCTCATTCTCCAACCCTTACAATTGGGGCGGTGAGGCACTGCGAGGTCCCCGTGGCCTTCCGTGGCTCCGCCCCGGCTCCTCTAGGACGGCTCTGAGCCCCGCGGTCGCCTGAGGGCGAGCACGAGCAGAGTCAGGTTGCCCTAGGGTCCATGGAGGAGACAGGGGTGGACAACCGGCTGCCGGCCAGTCTCCGCTGCCCAGTCAGGCTCAGCAAGCCCAGCTTAGGGGGCGGGCCGGGTTCCGGGCAAGGTCACTGCAACAGGCTGGGCTCCGAGCGCCAGTGCTCGGTAAAGGCGAGAGCTTTAACTGGGCGGAAGGCGCGCGGGAGCAGGACACAGTTAGGGGTACGGTGTGCGCTCCGCGCCTCCGCCCCACTCCCCATAGCCGGCCGGTTGCGTG